AAAAAAAATTTATCTCCCACAAAATTTGAAAAAACACTATTATTTCATAACAAATTCTAAATTAAAAAATGTCAATTATTTTAAGACAAATGGAGTAAAATTTTGTAATACGTTACATAATACAAAATGATATTGTGTGAATTAGCTTTTGTTTACGTTTTTCATTCTTAGCCATTCATGTTAAAAAAGATGAAATTTAAAATACGTTTATTTATGTGTTTTTAACTCTATAATCAAAAAACTTTATTTTTTTTTTTTTTAAAAAAGACCTTAGTCTTTCTTATTCCTAACTAGTATTTTTTAGCACATTAGACATCCCATTGCTTTCTTTTCTTTCTTTGTCCAAATCTAAAGTTACTCTCTTGATAAATTGACTAATGGATAAATAATGAAACTTGAAAGAAGAGGGATTTATTCCCTACACGCACGTTTTACCCTTAATACAAGTTTGTGTAAAACCATAGTTGTGGAGTGGAGAGTGGAAAGTGAAAAACTTTTGTAATTGATGATTTTTGTTTATATTTCTCGCTTCATTTAACAAAGTAATGGTAGGCAAAAAAATAAAAAATAAAAAGGTTGCTTAGTCAATTTTCTAAGAAACAACGAAAAAATGAAAGGATTTGCTATTGAAAAAGATATATGCGTATGGGTTTCTGTATGGAGCAATTATTAAGTAATTATTTTAACTCTTTTTCTTAAAAATCTAAACTTTATTTAAAAAAAAAAAAAAAAGTACCTCTTTTTTATTCCTAACTAGTCTTTTCTAACAAATCAGACATCCCATTGTTTTCTCTCTTTCTTTGTCCAAATCTAAAGTTACTCTATTGATAAATTGACTAATAAATAAATAATGGAACTTGAAAGAAGGGGAGTTTGTGCCCTACGAGGACGTTATACCCTTAATACAAGTTTGTGTGAAATCATAGTTGTGGAGTGGAAAGTCAAAAATGAAAAACTTTTGTAATTGATGATTTTTTGTTTATATTTCTCGCTTCATTTAATAAAGTAATGGTAGACAAAAAAATAAAAACATAAAAAGGCTACTTAGCCAATCTTCTAAGAAACAATGAAAAAATGAAAGGATTTGCTCTTGAAAAAGATATATACGTATGGTTTCTGTATGCATTAATTATTGAGTAATTATTGAGTAATTATTTTAGCTTTTTTTTTTCTTAAAAATCTTTATTTAAAAAAAAAAAAAGAAGAAAGGACCTTAGCCTCTTTTATTCCTAACTAGTCTTTTCTAACACGTTAGACATCCCATTGCTTTCTTTCTTTCTTTGTCCAAATCTAAAGTTACTCTATTGATAAAATGACTAAAGAATAAATAATGAAACTTGAAAGAAAGGGAATTTGTGCCCTACGTGCACGTTTTACCCTTAATACAAGTTTGTGTAAAATCATAGTTGTGGAGTGGAAAGTGAAAATTGAAAAACTTTTGTGATTGATGATTTTTTTTTTATATTTCTAGGTTCATTTAACAAAGTAATGATAGACAAAAATATGAAAGATAAAGAGGCTACTTAGCCAATCTTCTAAGAAACAATGAAAAAATGAAAGGATTTGCTCTTGAAAAAGATACATGCGTATGGGTTTCTGCATGGAGCAATTATTAAGTAATTATTTTAGTAAAAAAAAAAAAAAAAAGAGCTTAGTCTTTTGGTTTAATGAGAGCAGTCTCAATTTCAAACTGCAATAATCACATACTCATAAGGGCAAGAAAAGAGATGCTTTCGGAAAAGGAAATTTCCAAAATGAAGATCATTGCATTTACAAATTCTAAGCATCTCACCTGCAATTGCTATTGTTAGTCTGCAGAAATCAGACCATCCTACGACTTGTTTATTCATTAGCAAACCCTTCAAAATGAAGGCTTGCCACCTTATGAGCTTCTAGAATCTCTAACAAACATGAAATATAGGGGGCTCCTTGACTACTCAGAACTGAAGAACTGTGGATGCAACTTTTGATTTCAAATTTCTGCGAGTAAGTGACACCACAAGCAGGGGCGGAGGCAGAAATTTTCTTCAGGGGGGGCAAGATGCTAAAATTTTTAAAGTTCAGGGGGGGCTAGATAATTTTTCATATACTAATTGTATACTGATTTGCAAAATTTTCAAATTTCAGGGGGGGCGAGCGCCCCCCTCGCACCCCCCTGGCTCCGCCACTGACCACAAGCATAAGAAATTTGAATTAACAACTTCACTGAGATGTTCCTCTTTGCATTCATTATGGCAAGCAAGCCTATGCTAATGCAATTTCAAGAATGAAATTGAGTTTCAGTTCTTTTACAAAAGGTTCACTTGTTTGATATTTTGCATACAGTAGGAGAAGGTATAAGATGTGGAGGAGGAAGCGTGCATCTCCTCTTATCTATCTTTTATTATTTATTTATGAGTTAATATTTTTATTAATTTTTTAATTTCCCTTTTTGCATATGTAATGGTGAGAAAGGAAAAGTCCAGTCCCAAGTTGTTCAAGAATAGTTTACAAAATCAGGTACAGATCATTTAAATGAAGCAAGAATGACGGTTAATCCATTGAAAAATATACCAAGTTTTTTGAAATAATTAGTTGGACTAGACTTATGATGTAGGATTTCAGGAGCAAGGAAATGAAGGTTCATAAGCCAATACCTATGGCCATTTGATAGCAAATGATGCAGCAAATCATTTGAAAATTGAAGATGTAATCATTGCCAATGTGTAAAGTAAGTAGTTTTCCTTCTTTCTTTTTTTTTTTTCTTTTTTTTTATCAGCAGTGTAAAGTAAATAGTTAATCCTGCAATCTTCAAAATAGGTAAACAGACGAATAGAATTAGTGACTTGAGGAAATTTATGAGTATGTATACTCAGATGAGTAAATTTGTTTCGAACCTACTACCATTTCCAACACACAAACGTCATCTATTTGGATGTAATCCCAATCAAATTTTCTTTTCATTGGTCATACCAACCAGAACTGTTTATACCTGTAACGAGTTCTGCACTCTGCTTCTTAAAGAGATATATTGTTTAAGCTTCATCACATTTTTAAAACTCTGCTGACATAGATCTGACATGCTTTCACGAAAATAATGAGAGCACAAGTTAACAACCCCTTCAAAAACACCGCAGCAATATTGTAATGTGAGCATATTGAGACCAAGATAATGTCTAGATATCATCAAAAGCTCTTGGAATTTTTGAACCATGACATTCATTCCCTCCCTAGTACAGGCAGTCTCACCACTTGCAGAAATGATGGTCATATTTGATTTTTTTTTTTTATTTTCTTGTTATTGTTCAACCTAAAGGCTATGACAGCTAGTTGTTTTATTCTTGAAGCAAAAAGTTAAAAGAGTGTAGGTTTGCAACATACTAGAACAAAAGTAACAGCAATTTTAAAGAATAATAGATTTTCAAGTAGATTTGAGAAGAAACAGCACCATATACAAGGGGCTTACCATGAAACATTATCCCAATGAAAGAAACCTTCATGCCCTCTAGCATTGTTGAACTTGTAAACAGCTCCAGGAACTAACAAAGAATAACTAAGCATTATCAAACACAAAATGAATAACCATTAAAGATTAAACAGAGTTACCCCACAGGCTTTACGTTTATGGTTCATAAATAGATTACCTTCATAACCCTCAAGAACCAACTGGATCTTCAGAATTCAGATAGGAGAAGGGGAGTATCTAGATCAATGAATCTGTTATTCACGAATGGAGTATCTAGATCAATGAATCTGTTATTCATGAATTGAGGAACTTATAATGTAGAAAATAACAAAGAGTAGGGGAACTTCTAAGTCAATGAGCTATTTCTGTTTGGACTTTAACAAGTATATATGGTCATACTTCTTAAAGGCCCCCAGGAGAGCAAAGCCTATTGCAAGTTTCAGCCATACCACCAATATCAGATTCAGCCTCAAAGTCCTAGCCACCTTAATGATTTCAAGAGAACAAAGGACCCCAACTTTGGCAAGCTTAACGTTAATAACATCTGCCAGTTCTCCTTCCACTATTTTCTTGACATCAGCTAAACTCTGACAGCTCTCGTCTGCAGCAACAGAAACCCCATACTTGGCTTTTCCAAAATGATTAACATGATCAAGACCTTCCCAATCATCTCTATGAACTGGCTGTTCAAGAAGAACAGGAATCACCCCCATTTCTGCAAGAGAAAAAAAATGTGTGTAGCATTTTATAACTAGAAGACCCATGCAGTTAGTGCTGAAATGCAACTCGAATATATACTAGGACAAAATGACAAAAAGTTCAGATCATGCACATGGAGAAGGTTTTATCATTATGCCTTTAATAATGCTCTCAGCTCATATGCAGAGTGGAAACTCCATGTCTCATATATTTTACCATGTAATTTATCAAGAACTTCAATAGCCTCCTGCTTCCACCTGATACAGACTAAAGTATAACATGCTTATATTCTTTAAGAGAATATTTCATAAATGTATAACAAATCATCAAGCTATTGCTCAGTTCTGGTCTACCAAATAACCAGAGTCCCTATTTTCAATTCATTGAAGCTCAAACAATTTGGTATGATAATGAATCCCGTTGGCTCCCAGAATCCAGAGCAGACAAAGGGCACTAAGGATTCATAAGCCCCCTTCCTGGATTTAGAGTAAACAAAGGGGAAAACTCATGAGAGGATCAATTCAAGCAAACTATCTACTTCAATTATTTTCACTGAGAAGTGTATAAAATTTAAAGCCTTAATTGCCACATTATCAATCAAAACATGCAAATTAAGAAAATCAATTGATTAAGCAAGCAAATTTTTTGATAATATCCCACCAAAAGAAAAGAAGTATGCAAAACAAAACCCAAGACAGCAACAGCTATAAAAAGGCAATGAAACTCATGGATGCAAACTCATGTCCAAGCAAAAGTCCAACGATCTCCCTCAATAACACACCAAATATGTAGTAGAAGGATGACTCCTAAGCAGATGGCAGGCCTCCATAGCTTTGTCCATGGCAGTGGGCTGATCCTGCACACACACTCATTTCTAAACTCAATCCTGATTGCAAAATTCTCCACCTTATCTAGCCTAGTGGAGTGTTAAGGAAAGTTTGGAGAAAAGGAGAGGGACTTGGAGGAGAAGGGTAGAAGCACCGGTGGAGTTACCTCATTCGGTGAGGTGAGAACTCATTTTTTTCCTTCAATGTTCTGCTATTATATAGCAGAAAACTCAGTACATAAAAGTAATTTCCTCACCTAATCGTTATCTTATACAAGCAAATCTATCAATCATATAATGCAAGATTACATTAAAAGTCTTGCTGCCATTTGCGCGGCTCCATGTGGCTGGAACTCTGCAACCACTTTGCAGCCTTCATTGCAGCCTCATTTCCTTTCATTTGCTGCCACTTGTGCAGCTCCATGTGGCTGTACTTGCTGCTACTTTGCAGCCTTTCATTTGCATTTCATTACAGCCTCAGTTCATCAACATTTGCAGCATAGCTTGCTGCACTCTGCTGCTACCGTGCTTTGGTGCAGCCTTCCTTCTTCATTTGCTGCCCCTTGTGCAGCTCTGTTTTCATTTGCTGCCACTGGTGCAGCTTTCTTTCATTTGCTGCCTCTTGTGCAGCTTTCACACCACAACTCCAACATGGAGGCTATAGTAAAAGGAGCAATCAAGGGCATATTAAGTGGTCTGCTCTTTACTCTCGAAGAAAAGGAGCCAATCATATAATAATGTCATTATATAATTCTAATCTTTTTAAATTTAAAAAGTTATCCTCTGGATGCTTCTTTAACCTGTAACCAACCTTTTCTCAACATTCTTAAAAAGTGCTAGAATGACCTGTTAATGGCACCCAATCTAACTTTTAAAGTGAATTTCTTCGATTAAGCATAGACGGAGACAACATGAGCTACAGACTTCTTATTCTGCCCATGCTGGTGCAGTTGAGTCTGAGACAGCTCAGAAGTTGCTTTTAGCAAAAATTAATCAATTGAGTCAAGATCTTCTAAGGGTCTATGAATATAATCACCATTGTAGGTTATTGTTTGCCTGTTCTTTATAAGTATTTGGTAGCAGACTTGAGAAAGATCAACCTAATTAGTGGCTTGTACTGCACTGGTAATTTATCTTAAACTTGTTTTGAACTGTAGCTGAATATTTTTTTAACTATTAATAGTTCAAGAGTTCTGCCAGGTACCAGCCATACAATATCAATGATAGAAGTTCTTACGCCAAGAATTGTTTCATTATAGTATATGTTTATAAGGCATGCAATAGTTCAGCTATGCCTATGCCACTCCCTCACATGTAGTTTTACTTCAGCACGCCTCCTGTGTTCTTGATCCCACAAACGTGTTGCAAGGTATTAGAAGAATAAATCAAAGCCATCTAAATTTGCTATGATTCTTACATATCTTTTTTTACACAACACTTTATTTAAAATGTAATTTTATTAATTTTAATTAAATTTTTTATATATTTTTACTAATTTTAATTAATATTTTAAATAATTTTAAGATAATAAAAGATTTAAAAAAAAAATCTATAATCACAGCACTGCCTAAGGCCCAAACGAAGCCTTACTTGACAGGGTGAAGGGTGAAGGAGAAATGAAGAATCTTTTACCCTCTTATGGCGGACGGTTGCTTGTGGAATAAAGACTACTTGCTTCTTCATGAAAAATGAAGAATCTTGCCTTTTTGCAAATTCAAAATCAGTCTTAATTTATGTAATTCAAGTGACCAAAAGATTTGCCAACGACTTTAGATAATTCCCCTTACACATGCGGCCATTTGTAAAGTTACAATTTGGCCAAAATAATTAACATGCTGTTCTCCCCTTGATGAGATTCATTTCTTTTCTTATTAGCAGGTCAAGCTGCCTCCAAGCCATTCCTTGCTTCTTTTCACCTTACTTCACTACAAAGCTTAGCACCTTACCCCATATATATTCCTGTTCAAAATCTCACTGACACAATATCTCAAATTAATATTCTCAGGAACAGATTCAACCATGCCCAAGTACGAATCATCATCTGATTCAGACGATGAACCTACCGGACTTGGAAAACATGGGAGGCTGTTTGGGCGCCAAAGACCGATGCATGATGTTCTGGGAGGGGGAAAAGGTATTACATTACTCTTTACATTCTCTCTAATGCATGTTTATATGTCAGGTATATATCTAACAAATTTTGTGCAGTTGCGGATGTGCTATTATGGAGGAACAATAGAGTTTCAGCTGCATTGTTGGTTGGGGTGACAATGATTTGGTTTCTATTCGAGGTTGTTGAGTACAACTTCTTAACCCTCCTCTGTCACATTTCCATGACCACAATGCTTGTAACCTTCATATGGTACAGGACAGCAGAATATACGAATTGGTAATTTCTCCTGCACCAAACTTGTTCTAAATCAAAGTGACAAAGCTGCTAATAACAAAAACATTAGAAGAAGTATTATGGATACCTTCTAAAATTTAATGTGCAGGCATCCTCCGAACATCCCTGAGTTGTTACTGAGACATGAAGCTACCTTGAACGATGTCGCTTCAACATTCCACAGAAGATTCAATCAGCTCATGTCAAATTTCCTATACATCGCTCGTGAAAGCGATGTAACAGGTTTCTTTCTGGTATAACATCATCCAATTCAGCCATACATATTATACATTTTTCTTGAATTTTCCTTCTTAATCAAACCGAAATGATTTTTCATTTTCCAGACAATCATTTCTCTATACGTACTGTCCGTGATTGGATCCTGTTTCAGCTTTCTGAATTTCCTTTTTATTGGTAAGACTTAAATAACCTGATGTTATTGTTCATGATTTGGATTATGGGGATAGTTAACTTGTTTTTTTCAATGCATCTGTGTTTAGGCCTCCTGTGCCTGCTAACACTACCATATCTGTATGATCAATATGAGAATGAAGCTGATGCTTTTGTTGGAAAATTGAGCCGGCGGGCAAAGAAATCATACAAAAAGTTTGATTCAAATTTTCTTAACAAGATACCAAGAGGGCCAGTGAAGGACAAGAAAGCCTTATAATAAGCTACTGCACAAGAAAATGCAGAGTTCATCATAAATTTAGATGTTCATTGTACAGAGTTAATTTGTTTTTTGTGTGGAATTGTGAAAATGTTGTTTAATTTGAGCTTATTTACATGGTTGAAAATGAAATAAAGTGATATTAGAGCTCTACAGAATTAAAGAGTGATTCCCCCTGAAAACAGTGAGTTTGGATGAGGGAATTTGAAGGGGAAAAGGAGGAGAGTGATAGGGTGACGTCCCATTTTCTTTAGGGAGGGGTGATCGAGGCCCTCCACTCCTTTGTTTTCCATGTCCCAAATTAGGGGATTGTTATGAATTTAGTGTTTATGTTTTATTTTTTATCATTAAATTATTTAATTAAATAAATATATGAGGTTAGTGCTTCTTCGTTTTACTTCTAAAAAATTAAGAGAAAAAAAGATAAAAATCACCTTAATACAGGTTTTAAAAATATTATAGTTTAGTTTTTTTCAATAAAAATTTATTGAAACGACGTAGTTTTAAAATGATTTTTCTCTTAATCTTTATGAGATGCTGATAGACACTTTTTCCTAAATATATTATCATTTTCTCTTTTCTGCTTTTATCTATTCTGTTCAAATAAAGGTTATTTATGAGTTTTGGTAAAAGCAAGAGTCCCTCAATGAAATACGAAGAGAAAGTGGGATCAGATATTTCAAGATCCATATAATTATTGAATTAGTTTTTTCTTTACAATATGATATCAAAATATGTGATGAATTACTCAGTGGTATTTCGATCTTGGGTTAGACCTAGCAAAGTGAGAGTATATGTTGGGTCCTCAATAAAGGCTTTGTTAGACAACATTTCTCGACGTTTTACCTTTTAATATTTATATCTTCTTATTATTTTAAAAATATACAAAATATTAATTAAAATAAATATTAAATATATAAAATATATTTTACAAATTTAAATACAACTGCAAGTCAATATTGTCAAACTAAGTCAAAAAATAATTTAAATATATCAAGATACATTTAGTTATTGAATTAATTTTTTTATTTCAATATAATGTCAAAACATAAGATGAGCAATCAGATATCTCTCTAGTAGGCTAAATGTCTTCTCAACATACCCAAACAAATGAGGTTAACACCAATCTTTTCCTTCCCTTCTTTTCTTCTCTCTTTCATCACTTTTTTACTA